TTCAATGATTCTCCAAAGGTTAGTGTTCACATGATTTAAATGACGTTTAAAGCGGTAAACCCAAGAATCAAAATTCTCATTTTTCACAATCTTAGGGGGAGGACCGGCATGATTCAAATGAGTGGAAGGAACCGGTCCACCATAAACAAGTGGTGATTCCACATGGGCAAAGATGCCGGTGCCATTCTTGCCACTAGAAGAAGGAGCCTTTTCACTACTAGCTTCCCTCTTGTCGGGGATAGCATCCGTCACCTTGTTGGCGGGATCACCCACTTTCAACGGTGCGGTGGATAGTTTAAGCCCCTCAAGAAATTTAGTAAACATGCTTTCGACTTCGGTCGTCATGGAGGTTTTCAATGTCTCCAAGGCCACATTGAACTCCTCACGAGAGACCGAAGTTCCCCCATCTCCCGTAGACGAGATCGGATTCACACCGGAGTGTTCCTCCACACCGTCTACGGTATCAACCATACTCTTTGGACGGTAAAGTCCTTAATAAAGAGAAGAGGCTCTGATACCAATTGAAATGATCGATATGGTTGACTAGAGTGGGGTGAATAGGCAACTAACAATTTTTAGCTTTTCTTTAACAATTTAAACTTTGCATCAAAGTAGGTTGTCTAGATATGCAACTAGGTGAGCAACCTATATGATGCAACGAGGATAGGTACACAAGCAAGCAAGAGATATTAAACAATTAAGCTTGCTCAAATAAAGGCACGAGATAACCAAGAGTGGAGACGGTGGAGACGAGGATGTGTTGCCGAAGTTCCTTCCCTTTGAGAGGAAGTACGTCTCCGTTGGAGCGGTGTGGATGCACAATGCTCCCCAAAAAGCCACTAGGGCCACCGTATTCTCCTCACGCCCTCACACAATGCGAGATGCCGTGATTCCACTATTGGTGCCCTTGAAGGTGGCGACCGAACTTTTACAAACAAGGTTGGGGCTCTTTCCACAACTTAATTGGAGGCTCCCAACAAAACCACGAAGCTTCACCACAATGGAATATGGCTCCGAGGTGACCTCAACCGTCTAGGGTGCTCAAACACCCAAGAGTAACAAAATCCACACAAGAAAGTATGGGGGAAGCAAATATCCTTTGGTGGAAGTATAGATCTAGGTCTCCTCCTTCAATCCCTAGCAAATCAACAAGTTTGAGTGGCTAGAGAGAGAGATCGGGCAAGAGAGCTTGAAGGGCATTAATGGTGGAGTGAGAGAGGTCCAAGGTGGGAGTGGTAGGTGGGAGAAGCTCCCTTAAATAGTCACCCACATTTCCAACCGTTACTGCGTTTTTTGCACTGCAGTGGTACAACCGGTCCTTGTCCCGGTATAACCGGGACTCACGGTGTAACTGTAGAACCTTACCAAGCGGTACAACCGGACAGGCGGGCGGTAGTACCGGCTAAGAAAAATAACCGGACTAACCGCCTGGCTACCGCTCAACCACCGCATCAAAACAGGAGCTTGACCGGTACTTGGGCGGTGCCTGGCCGGAACAACCGCATGGCCTTGAGCTCTTGGGCGGCTAAGTTCTGAGCGGAAGAACCGCTCGGACCACAGGTGGTACCGGTCATCGTGGAACGACCGGACCAACCGGGCCACTACCGTCCAAGAACCGCATCAAACCAGAAGCGAGAGCGGTACTTGAGCGGTGCATGGACAGAACCACCGCCCCAGCTGTTGCAGAGCATGGTGGCGGTACCACCGCCCGGAGGCTGCGGTACAACCGCTCGAGCAAAGCTGGTGAGCGACAAGACCCAGCGGTACAACCGCTCCAGAGAGCGGTACAACCGCTGGGCAGAAACAGTGAGCGGGAAAGAGAGGAAGAGGCAAGGAAAACTCTCTCTCTCTCTCACACACACCTGAGGAAGGCAAGGAGAGGGTGAGAAAAGTGTACGTGAACTGATTCCCTCAGAGCTTCCTAATGAGGATTCCCTCTTGATAGTGCGGGTACTCTACGACCAAAGAAAATAAAAGCATAGAGGACACATCTTCGATTTTTTCCTTCGAGAGGCAATAGCAATCCGATGTAAACCTAAGCATCGAGAACCTGAAACATATAGCACACGATTAAACCACAAAGGATTGTCATCATCATCCAAAACATAAAGTAGGGAAATGCCCTTTCAGGCGGTCCTTCGTCGAGGAGGCCGCCGAAGATTTAGTTGAGGTACTGTCAATGGCCGCACCATCATCTGCCTTATATTTCTTCCGGTTTGCATTCTTTTGAGGGGTTCCACCATTAGAGCTGCTAGGTGGATCAGGCCCTTCGAATGTACCCACCCTGTCTGCTGTGATCCCCAGCGGGACAAGGGCTCCCACCGTCCTGTTCCCCACTTCTTCACCGGTGATGGTGTTTGAAGTGCTCGAATCATCTGCCCCCCTTTTACCCAAAATGAGAGGATCATTTATCTGTCCAAGTTGTGTCACACCATCAGCATTGACCAGCTGAACGCCGGGGTCGTACAAGGCGTTTGTAGCATTGAAGCGCCAGCTATTTTGCATGAATTGATCCCGTCTAGTGGGGTCTACAGTTGTAGCAAAATTCTTGCGCTCATTACCGCGACCTCGGCCATGGGATCTGTTCGCTCCCCGTCCCCTGCCATAGTCGTTCACGTCACCCTCATCACCAAAGACACCTGCATCCTGTTCCGAGCTGCGACCATAGCCTCTGCCCGGGTTCCGGTTAGCATTAGCGCCCCTTTTAGTAGCAAGTATAAACGGACCCCACTCCATATCTTTATCATCATGTTCACCGGATCCACATTCTTCATGCCAGTGCCCTAGCAGACCACACATGTAACAGAAAACAGGAAGTTTCTCAAACTTGACTTGGTAATATTCAGTTTCTCCTCCCTTTGTAAATCCAACAAACCTTGTCAGTTTTTTTGTGATGTCGAGTTTAACTCTAACACGTACGAACTCACCAATAAATCCATTCGGCAGAACAATCTGTAGCTCAACCACTTCACCTATGCGCCGCGCCATGTTCTTAACGAACTGCTCTCTCTTAAGCACCATATCAGGGAGTCGATGGATCTGACACCATGTCTCAATTTTATCCAACTTTACTGATTCCGGGTTCTTGAACCCATCATACTCATCAATGATCAGTGCCATGCCCTTGAAATCCCAAGGACCCTGATGGAGTGCCTTATTCCAGTCTGCTAGACAATTGAACTGCACCGAAAACAGGTTTGGGTTAATTCTCCTCCAAAGCACCTCCTTGGCAGGGTTCCAAGCCGCTTTCATGTCGACGATCAACGCCCCCTGTCCAAAGGACTTGTTCGTCAAAACCCTGGCCAGCGCAAGCCACTTTGGCTTCTCATCTGGTTCCTCCGCTTCTTCTTCCTACACCAAATTATCCAATTCATCCTCCTCCAGATGCAAGCGCTCCAGCAAGACGCTAGGGTCATCAGGGGTTTTGGATCGCGATCCGCTAGTCTCCGAGGGTGCGGCCATCTTCCTGGTCGGTGAAACCCTTGCCGTCAGGGTCACGCAAGGGCGGACCCAGCAGCCGGGGCGGTGGGCGGTAGCTACAGTCGCCGCAGGGGGCGATCAATCACAAGGGAACTCTCGGCGGCGCCGCCGGGAGGACAGGGAAACCCTAGCTTAAGTCGCTAGGGGACTAGCAGCATAAAAAAATGCTACAACACAGCTAGGGAAGATGGGGGCTAGAAACAACTACAATTGTGTAGTAGTATTTGTGTATGCTGAGCCAAATGTCTTTATCTAAAAAAATGCTGAGCCAAATGTGGTAGTCATGATGGTGTCGGTTACTGTATTATGCGCATGTGTTTGTGGTCAGGATAAGTGAAGTTTAACATTATCTAGGTTGCTCTGGTGGGTGTGCAATGCTGCTTTGCGCCTCTCAGTGCGTGATATTCTGCTAAAGATACTGGCAGTGAGTATAACAACAGTTAGATCAAATAATTTGGACTAATATAACCTCAACGTGGAGCTCAGGGGGGTTCAGTAACCAGTCTCATTACTTTGGGGATATTTGGAGATCATCCTGTAAACTTTAGTAGTAGTTGAGAAAATGATAGGACACTTGACAAAAATACAGGCTCAACTTCGCTCACCTCACCTCACCACATTTGACAAAAATACAGGCTCAAAAAGATAGGACACTTGATAAAAAAGATAGATGTACGATGCAACTTTGCACCTCGGTGCATGATATTCTGCTAAAGGAACTGGCAGCGAGTATAAAAGCAATTAGATTAAATAATCTGGACTAATATACCAGTATTGTGGTGCTCAGGGGGCCGGGGATGGATACTCCCTCCGTCCCAATAATATAAGACATTTTTGCAAGGTAGAGCGAGTAACCAGATTCGTTACTTTGAGAAGGGATCATCCTGTAAACATAATAGTTGAGGAAAATATAGAACAGTTGACAAAGTATACAAGCTCAACTTCCACATTTTAACTAGTAATCTGATTTTTTGGTTTTCGACATTTTGACTTCCATTTTCCCATCTCACGAGAAAAAAAACTTCCACTTTGGGCAACTTCTGTAGTTACAGACAGGATCACAGGAGGATCGATCATCAACATATATCCAGTGGTGAAGCACATTCAGAGTTCAGAGTATCAATCATCATTATCTTTGCCAGCCAGCAGCAGATTTTTCCAAGTGAACACACACTAGCCTCACTGAAAATATACATATCCATAGTATAGGAATTGCAAAGAGTGCAGAGTAGCAGAAAACAACTTTTTAAAATCCTTTCTTGGATTTCTGTTCACAATGCACAAGGTGGCATGGAAAGACAAATGGAGCACTAGAATCAGCCAAACATTCCACCACTCACTGATATCACCAGAACCATATGGATAAATCAAAACCCAACTCTAGAACTAGAACAAACAGCTAAGAAACATGAAAACTCGCAAAAGGTTTTGTTAGGCTTGCTAGATCCTATATTCTACTGTTAGGATTCGTTCATCCGATGTAGAGTAATCAAAGAAATCTGCCCATCGCGCTTTTGTTACTAAACCTTCCATGCATGAAGTAGCAAAGTAAAACCAAACCGATGCACTTGACGCTCCTTTTCATCCTGTGAGCAAGACCTTGCCAAAAATTTCTCCATGGATCGGCCTGACTGAAACAAGAACACAGCGCATCCATTCGACGAACCAAATAGCCAATCGTGCACATCCCAGAGCACCTCCACGGGCAGGCCATCAACATAGAACATCTGGTTTCCTCTGAAGTTCCATGCAAGCCTCTTTACCTGCAGCACTCTCTTCTTCCCAATCCTGATCTCCAGGCTTGGATCCTTCGTCCCCGACGTGTCACATTCTATGGTGATATGATGATGCTGACCAATGTCCGAAAACCGAGCCTTTGTGCAGTACACCTTCTTCCCGTACGTGTGCTCCTTCCTGGCTATCATGGCTGCATCACAAGGTAAAGCATCCGAAGACGCCTTGTGATCCCCCACCCTGGGCATGTCCCCGAGCACAAGGACAGCCTCGAGATCAAAGATGAGAGCAACATAGTATCCTTGGACAGGCTCCGGCCCACCCGCAAACTTGGCCGAGGAGAGGTCCCAGAGGATGTCCAGCGCGCCGCCGTCCACCTCCATGGCCTTGGAGCCCTTCCGCTTGGAGAAGAGCCATGGCTTTATCTCTGTCTTGCAGAGGCAACGGCCCGAGGGATCGTGGACGGCGATGGCCAGAGCCTGCCCCATGGCCGCCTTGCTCCAGGTGACGGTGACCCTGCAGGATTTGCCGCGCAGGCGGGCCAGGTAGGCGCACTGCACCATGCTCTGGGCGCTTGAGGAGGAGGGGTGGGCGACTTGAACGCCGGTTTGGCTGAGGCAGGACGCGAGATCTCTCATGGCGGCGGTTGCGAGCTGCAGCCCGCGCCTTTGCGGCTTTTCGACGAACACTGGGTGTGCAGCGAGCGCAACCGCCCTGTCTTGGTTGACGCCCGGTCACGCGCCGCGCGCGCAGGAGCGTGTTCTGCTCGGTCGGATGCAGAAGCAGAACATCTTCATGCTTTGAGGCCTGAAAAGTGGTCGAGGTGATCCGTCAGAGCCGCATCTCTGCCCTCCGTCTCCGTAGCACAAGATGTAGCCCCTGTTCGTCGACCTGGAATCTGGAACAGACGAACAATGGCAAATACAGCAACAGTAATAAGAATCTGAAACACAGAAACGCCAGTCGAACAGAAAAGCTGCAACCTTGGAGACCAACCAACGGAATGGGAAAAAAGAAGATAGCAAACCTCTCTCAGCGAGATGAAGAAGAAGATGCCACCAGCTCAACCGCAGCAGCGAAGAAGAACGCTGAGAAACAGCAGGCGGACAAATCCACTGCGCTCACCCTGAACAAGAACTCTGCCGCTCCACAACGAAGTGCCCCCTTCACTCAGTAGTCAGGTAGTAGTAGTAGTACTGAGGTGCAGTAAAATACAGGCAGTAGGCAGTGTGTCTGCCGTCCATTTCATCCTTCCTTTCTTTCTTTCCCTTTTGCTTGGGCTCAAGCGGAAGCTAAGCTGGCCGTGTTGGAGTGACCAAAAGCAAGCGGGCGGAGAGAAGAGGACAAGCATGGCAGGGCGACCGCGGGCAGCGCTAGGGTAGGGCGTCCTTGGGGAATGTGGGCAGCGCAAAAGACGGCGAGGCGCGCGCGGGCAGCAACAAGCTGCTGCGGAGACCAGACAGACAGGTCTCGGGCTGGGGAGAGCCTGAGATGCTGCCGCGGTTGCGCTGTCCAATCACAGCACTGCACAGCGGAAGGTCGTCCCTCTCCCTCTGTGGACACGTGAGCTCCACCTGATCCGCGTCTTCCGCCGCTGGGAGCAGACCATGATGGCCCCGTATGATGTGGAAACATGTATACTGAGGTGCAAGCTGGAGCGCCTAGAACATCAGCGAGGACAACGGGCACATGTAAGGCCTCCTTTGGCTCATAGGATAGGAATAATATAGGAATAGGAAAATCATAGAAAGTGAGATGACATGCATCTCAAATCATATAAAGAAAGAGATGTCATTTGATGTATAGGATAGGATTTTTTCCATTGAGTCTAGGCTAATGTTTTTTTCCCTTTAAAATGTGAAGGATTAATTCCTATCCTACGTAGGAATAGGAATCCATTCCTATAAACCAAAGGGCTTCAAAGGAATTTTTCCTACGAAATTCCTATCCTTTGCAATTCCTACAATATTCCTATGAACCAAAGGAGGCCTCAACTGGTTGGAGAAGGGACACAAGAACACATCTTATTTCGATTTTTCTGAGTTTTTTCGAGAAGAAAAAATTACAGCCCTTGTGGGCGTGACACGTGTGATGAGGTAATTCTGCGCACAAGCTTTTTTAAACTGGTTAGAAGATTAATCTTTTTCTATTTTCTAATACAGCACAGACGTGGACGCTCATACATACACACGTACACTCACCCATATGGATGCACATACACACACGCTACGTTATGAACGACTCAGTAGTCGACGGTAACGTCTCCTGCAGGGACGAAGGACGCAGGCGAGACAAGAGACAACTACAAAACAATTTTATGTTACACATAGGGGACGTTAGTTCAAAGTGCTCCATCGATCCCTTCAACATATACACTAGATCGGCAACGTGCCTTGGCGCGAGGGTGCCTGTCCGAACGTTTTGGTCAAACGTGTAATGTTAAGTTATTAGTAACTTAAGTTGCTATTCGGACGATGAAAAGGGCGATGAAAGCATGATATTACCACCATGTGTCTAAATGGGACTAACAACGTCTGAATTAACTGAAGCTATAAATTGATGTCAGATAGAATGTAACTAAAAATATTGGTATTTGCTTAACGTTGCAACCTGAGAAACCTCGAATCACCCACCCATAAAGCTGTTGCATCAGAAAGTATAGGTAAATGTTATACTTTGTGTATGTGAGCCAAGAGGGTTTATGTCAAGTTGTTGTAAGCTAAACAAAGCATGATTTAGCGATGCCAGGAGCTGACTATAAAATCAGTAACTGTAAGCTAAAGCTAAAACATAATGAGATGAAACCGTATACAAAAATTAAGGGAGATTTGTATATAACAGGAAGAATCACCAAAGAACCAGTTGGAAACAAAGATTGTTCACGTGCACAAAATGGGAAGCCACCAAACAGTATACAATCATAGAAAGCACACTTCACGATAACAACAGAAATCCATAGGATATGTAATAATTGTTCAAAAGAGCATCAAAAGGGCAAAGGCCTCCGTAAACATGCTGGGTACAATGTGCTGACCGAAGCTCACCAGATACTATCCGTGGTCTCGAGGCGCTGCTCCGATTTCATGCCAATATAACATAGCCTTTTTGCCAACATTTCTGCGCTTGCAAGTGTTGTTTTCATAGCCGCTTTGGTGTTGTCGCACCCTCTTAGGCGCCGAGCAGCTGTTGTATTTTGTATCTGGGTAGAATACGAGCTCATGTATCTGACAGCATAGTACCATCCTCCGCGTGCCTTCTTTATTGTCTTGTTTGCTGCAACCAGCAACCTCACCAGGTGTGTGACTTTATTTTCTAGCCTTTTAACGTGGATGTAGTGATAATCCCTGGTTTCCTTGCCACATATATCCTCCATAAACCTAATGGCTGCCATAGCAGCACTGTCTTTCGCTTCATCACAGTTCTTTGAGATCAGACCAGATATTGAGGTTGGAACAAGCAAACCATCGATCAACTGTAACGATGAATTGAAAGTAACCGTCACACGAGACTCATTGCTCGGATATGTCTTGTGTTGATAAATCGCAGGGGGCAACTTGAGAGCTTGCAGCATGAGGGCAAACATGTGAGAATGAGGAATCAGTATTACATAGTCATCTTCCTGCAGAAAGAAAAGGATGAAATAATTGGGGGACAAAGGTGTAATCTCACAAGTTATTGCATTAATTTGTAAAGTGAGGAACAATAAGTTTAAGTTATGTTGATCAAACTAAATCAAGCTGCTGTAAGATGGAAAACAAACTAAACTCAGGAAAGAAGAATGTTTAAAAACATGTCGTACCACTAAGTAAATTGGTCTTGTGCTAAAACAAGAAGATTCGCTAACTAACAGTTAGGTGCTGGTGCATTATTTGAGTTTGTCAGGTACAGTTTATCACCAGGATGAAATTATTCGTTTAGTGCAGTTCCCTTTTCCTCTCTTATTCCAACTTCACGTCCTGACCACCAAAAGGAAGGGATAAGCAAACTCGACTTGGTGTTGTTTTATTATGTACAGAGCATGTCACAGTTAAATGCCATTTGTCTATGTATCTAGGTTAATCTAATTATTACAAAGCATGTCACAGTCAGATACCATTTAGAGACGGAAAGGTAATTGGCATAAGGTGTGGTCTCTGGAAAAGAAAATGTAGCTGCATAGAAGGTTCAGACAGTATCACACTAACCGTGAAAACATGAAAATAAGCGAGTAATTGGTTTATGTATGATAAGAAAAAGGGAAGAAGAGCATAAACTACATGAAAGCGGCCTGCTGATAAACTAGAAGAGCCTCAATTTTTTCCTACGGCTGAAGCATCAAGCACCCTGTGGCTAAACTAAAAGTGTTATGCGCTCCAGCTTTTCCAGATAACATAAGAATAGTAATAAAAAGAGAAACGAAATTAGTTTTATCTGGTTCACAACCATTTATGTGGGGTTTAATAATGTAGTCAACGGCCCTAAGAAAAATCCATTGGATTGGGAGAAGGAAAACACTTGTACCTATGTTTTTGGTGACCGCGAGTATGCACAAACCCTAGATGAGACATGTGTTTGTCTTCAGAGATAGATGTGAGATGTTCTTTCAGTCATTTTTTTTCAATCGTCCAGTAAAATCAGAGAGGGGATGTGATGGGTGTCGGGTCACCTACGCAAGCCCCCGCAGACAGCTGTTGGTGGAGCAGGCGGAAGGCACCAGCGCGATCTGAACAAGGAGGTCTTCGGCCTCCATCGCGATCTGATCAGGGAGCTCGTCGTCGGCCATCGCGATCTGATCAGGGAGCTCGTCATTGGCCATCTTGATCCGATCACAGAGCTCGTCGGCGGCAATCGCGATCTGAAATCCACAGATGCTGTAACGCCCAGATAATTTAGCTACAGTAATACTATGTTGATGGTACCACGTCACCACTATTACTGTTGCTAACCTCTCTTAGATTCGAAAGCGACTCGAATTCAAATTTTAGATAAAGTCAAAATGAAAAGTTTTTCAAATGTCAAAAGTAAATTGTGAAAAGTGTGGCAAATAATTCATAGGTGTTATTGGTGAGGAAACCAAAAAAAATATAAAAGGTTTAAGTGAAAAAAAAATATCAGTGGCTTAAACAATTATATAAATGCCTTTTTAATTTCTAAAATGTTAAACTATTTTATTTGTGAGCGAAACTTTTTGTAGCAGAGGTATAGATAGTAATACTAATTATGAAGTACTTTTGTATTTTAACTAAACTAGAATATTGTGGAAATTAAATTAAACTGTGGTAAGAAAATAAACAGAGGTGAGTAATTAAAAAACAAAAGACCTAAACTACTAGACCTTTGGCCCATTAAGTAAAAACCGGCCAGCCCACATACCCCTTCCCTCCTCCTCCTGTTCACGAGGGGGGATCGTGGCGGCCATCGCCCCTTCGGCGGCCACGCGCCGACCATCGCCCGGCCGCCCCCCTCTACAAAACCCCGGCGCCCCCCTCCCATCGCCGAACCCTAATCCCCACTCCCTCCCTCACACGCCCCTCGCCCTTCGGCTCTAGATCCACTTCGGCCACGTCCCGCCGTCGCCATGGTCGCCGTCACCCACGCGCTCTTCGTCACCCCCGTGCCCTAGGACCTTGTCCGCCTGCTTCCCCGCCGTCTACCACGT